CCCCAAAACCCCAAAACCCCTACTGTTAAAATTTATATATAAGAGTGAATTATGAAATTAAGATAGATTCAAAAATTATTGGTATCATATAGCTTGCTAAGATTCAGGTAAATTTAAAGGATGGTATGTATTGAGTAGGTTCATAACATCTTGAGTAAAGTAACTACCATCCTTTCCAATTAAAAAGGAAAGATGACCAAGTTTGTATTCTTGGTAGTATACTAAAGTTTTTAGCTAATCTTTTGCCCATCTATTATCAATCACAGTAGCAACTTCATCATCTTCTCCTACAAATAAAGCTATTGGGACTTTTTAAATCTTTGTAATATCAATAATAGGAGGAGTTTCTTAACCATAATTCAAGATATTTCCATCTTTGCCATAGTCATATCTCATAAATTCACCATAGCCTCTTATTTAACCATAGTAGTTTAAAGACCTAACGCTGGTTCCAGCAGGGAAATGTCCAAAGTACACCTACTGTCTTTCATAATCATCTTCTTCTAAGTATTAATCTGTTGTAAGGTAAACAATGGCCTAGCATATCTCGGGGATAACTTCACAGATAAAGTCCATTGCACCAGTAGTTAGCCAGTTGTAAGGAAAGATCTCATAAATTCCATGCTCCTCGCACAGATTATTTAGAGCAATTCTAGTCACATTTGATGAAAGAATCCTCAATAGTGTCGAACTTTCATGTGTAAGTCTTGTGGCAGGTCCCAATGCTATGAAGATTGATATCTTATCTTGAAAGTATGTTTCGTTATTTGATAAAGAATAGAAGAGCTAACTGGTACCCTGAGAATGACCAATATATGCTAATTTTTCTTGTTTGGTCACATTCCTGATATACTCAAAAGCAGCTGGTAAATCATAATCTCCCATATCCTCAAAATCATAATTCCAATATTCTTTTTCATTTTTAGAATCAGCAGAGGAATTAGAGTATTTATTACCTCTGCTATTACCAAGCCAGACATCATAACCAGCTCTGGCAAGCACAAATGCAGGTGTTTAAGAAGCGTGATTCACAATCCATGCATCAGCAGAATCTAGAACTCCGTGTTAGAGAAATACAACAGGTTTATTTTGTATTGCACTAGGTCCTTATACCTCATTTATATTACCAGGGATCCTAAATATTTTCAAAATGTAAGAATCTTCAGTTGTCACTAAATGCTCTTCAAAAGTGAAGCCATTTTCATTAGTTATTTACTTAAATGTTTTAAATATATCCAGGATGTCCGATCTCACCTAAATGAATTAATTACAAATAATTTACTGATTGCTTTAGTTAGTAGAGAGAACAGCAGCAGAATCCTAGAAAAGCTATTATATTTATTTTATTTATAATCATTATATTGTCAAATTAAAATATATATCTTAAACTTGGGGTTTTGGGGTTTTGGGG